CTCGCCCGCGCCCGCCCCCGCCCCGGCGCCCGCCACGCCCAGCGGCCCGCCCATCGGCGCCGCCTTGCTCAGCGCCACGTTGGCCGCGGCGCGCGCGTACGCCAGGCACGACCGCCCCTCGTGGTCCACGGCCTTCGCGTTGGCGTTGTGCTGCACACACAAACACACACACGTCACTCACATTGTACACCTAAACACCCTGGGGCCAGGAGCGGATTCAGTTCATTATTTAAATAATTACATAATTCTAACATAAATCAATTTCGTCAAATAAATGAAGGTAACAAACAATAACTCTAAACCTTGGGGGGGGGGGCGCATGGCGGCCTCCATGCCATATTGCTAAATGTTGATTCTAGGATTTGGCGGGAATGAATTAAGATATTAAAGCATTAGTTTCCCAACGTTCCAGGATTTTTCATTCCATCGAAAGGGCTGGTGGTAAAACAAAAAAATATAAAAATTGTATGTTTTTCCACCAGCCCTGAGGATGGAATTAAAAATGTTTTGAAATGTCGCCAAATTAATGTTATAAGGTCTTAATTCACTCCCACCAAATCCTGTGATCTACATTTTTCATATCTACTTCATTGTTGTGAGTCTACAATAATAAAGTATATTCCATGGAATATACTTTAGTACCAAGTAGAAAGTCTTTGTAAAAACATTGACAGTCCTTGGATTCAAGTTTTAGGGATTATGTAGGGCAATAAGACTTGAGAGTTGTTCTTGTGTTAAACCTCAGATGCTTTTGAAATGAGATATTAAAATCATGTTATTTTTACACCTTCTAACATGTTTTCATTAGAATTTTGACAGTATTTTTTCTCATTGTCGTAATATAATTTCTATTTCTTCTACTTTCTCCTTGGCTGAGCTTCAGAGTTGTTTTTAATGAATTTGTCAATTCTAACTTATCATTCCATGGAAAAAGGACTTTTTATTTCTTGTATTCTTATGCAATACACAAAATTAAAAATAACATTCCTTGAAAATTATTAAAAACTTATTTCTAATGGAAGAAACTTACCCATAGCAACAGTTGTGCTGCTGCTAGGTTGCCTGTCGCACAGGCAAGATGCAGTGGCGTACGCAGGTCACGTGCACTAACTGTTGCATTTACTTGATCAGTTGAGGCATGAGCAAGAAGCAGAGCCAAGCTCTTCATGTCAGATCTGTGGAATGAAACATCAAATGTTAATCCTTAATGCACAGTCATGAAATTGATACATTTAAATATATTAACACCTAAACATTGCATGTTAAGAAAGAGGAAAGAACATGCCATGAACGTTCCAATTACTAATGTGAGGTATGAAAATCTGTAGATTATTCACTTTCCTGAGAGACGTAAAGATGTATAACCTACTACATAAATGGAAGCAATTATATTTATTTCTAAGAAAAATTACTAATTCCAGTGTTTCTTTGAAATCCCATAAAAACATTTCTGCCAATGAAACACGTGATAGAAAAGAAAGAAAAAAAATAATGATGCATATTCTGTTATATTTATTTTAGTGGCTGAATTATATGCATACAGGGCAGTGATGATTGCGTAAGAAGATGACATCTCTTCAGAATTATTTAAGAAAAAATATATTATTTTGAAGATTTCTATACACTTTTTAATATCATGACATTCAAAACAGACCACACTTCCAATTACTTTGGATTACCAGAGTTCTGCTGAATTGTAAAATAATACACTGTTATGAAATTTCCTTCCCACCCTGACTTCAGAATATGTAAGGACTTTCTCTTTTGCTAATTGCTTTTGAGAAAAGAAAATTTACAGCAAATGATTGGAAAAAACGTAGGAAGAGACTTTCATGATTGCTACAGTTGTAAATATATGAAGTTTGAGAGAAAATCTTTATTTATTTTTAAATCGAAGGAAATAAAGAAATTAGGCAACTTTTGCAACATTCTATTGAAGCTGAAGAAAAATATAATTTATCTATGGTGTTTATTTATTTGAGACAAAAAGAAACTGTAAAGCATACCGGCGCACTGCATCAAGAAGTTGCTGAGCCAGTGGGGCACCAGAAGGTGCGGAGGCCAAGAATTCCTTGGCCTCATATTTACTGCGGATCCATCGCTCCTTTTCTTCACGGCTAGAGTTGGGAGTAGGCTTTGCCCTGCTACGTGTGTGAACCTCCCAAACACTATTAGCTAATGCATTTCCCAGGGATAGCATAACAGCGAGGTGACCAGGCCTGTTGACAGAATGTTTCATTAGTACCAAGAAAAAAAGTCAAAAATGGAAAGAAAAATGTGTTAAACATTAAACTGATAAAAAGTTCATAAGAATCCAGGTTTCTGACTTTCTAATTTGTATCCAGTTCACAAGAAGAGAAGCACTAACAATATTCTTCTGAAAATATATTAGAAAGAAGTGGCTCAAACTGCCATAATGGGAAATATATTCTTAAAGCCATCCCTACACCTGGAAGACGAACCACCTACAGAGAACCTGAGAATTTGACTTGATATATTTTCTTTGAAAAACAGTGAAGCCTGTGTGGGACTTATACCAGAGAAAAGTTCAATCTGCGCCAGCCGATCATTGAATGGATTAATTGGATGTTTAACTCGTTGACTTTTTTCATACACATGATATATTAGCCATTCTTCTTTAATTCAATTCAAATAAATTGATTTCTTAGTTTATTCTTTCATTACTTCAATAGCAATTATTATTTTAGAAATGTCTTCCCCTCCCCTCATGAGTATGACTCTGAAAACTTATCAGTAATACTTACGGCCACTCATCAAGGTCCAAAGAGCGAACTCGGGAAATATGCGACCCAAGATTGCGATGAATTCCAGAGCATTCGATGCACACCACCACACCTAGGTTGAGACTGGCCCAATCTGGGTCTGTAAATGGTTGAAATAATGACTCAGTAACTGTAATGGTAATTTATCATAGAGGAATCATTCATCACTAACTAAATTCATTCCTGAAAGTGTGGATCATTCTATCCCCCCCCAAAAAATTGAGTAATTATTTAATTTTGACATTCAGAATTTATTAAGAAATTTATCTTTATTGATGATTGGGTTCAGTGACAGTGATTGATCAGTGACATGGGTTTTGTTATGTTAACAAGATCTGTTCTGTTCCAATTATGAAAGAACATTTGTTATACAGCAAAAAGTGAATAGTAAAATGATAAAATGACTTATAATTTTAATTTATCATAGGAGGAAAATTAAATGTGAATTTTCCAAAAAATGTTACACTCTATTGAGTGTTCTCTGTTGCATAGCTTCTTTTATACAACTTACTGGGAGCATCACAGTCGGCACAGTGCGAGTTGCCTGGCACACGTGAGCGGACTGCTTGCACAGCTGCAGCATCCACACATCCTGCCAACCGTGATTTTGCCTTTCCACTCTCATTGCCTTGAAGGGAAGTCAAGATCTGTTGTTCAATGGCTGCCACCCATTCATCTCGCTCCTCTGAATTGCCAGCTTCAAAATGCCACTGCTTGTTATCCAGTGATACGATGAAAAATTCATATCTGTAAATGAAAATTTTATTACTATCAAATATTTGGTGCAAATGAATTTCATTACCTCACCTTGACTGATTTTCATTCCTAATATGTAAAGCTGATGCAGATTTTTAATTTTTCTCAATTTACCGATCAAAACTCTCATTTATAAATCAAATTATTCTTTGTGAGTATCACTAAACTTTTGTCAGATTTTTTAGAATTACAGAGTTTGGGGGAGTAATTTCTAGTATTTAAACCTTCTTTGAGGTCCTAAAATTTTTGTTAATAAAAGTCTTCATATATTTTTTTAATCTGATGTTTGATTTTCACTTCTTGTTTTTTGTTTCTACTGTTTTGGCGAAAATAAATCGAATAAATAAATAATAAATTAAATCAAAAAGATATACAACCAAGATAATATGTTGGTTGTTAGCATGGGTTGATTGATTGATTAGTGTTTCCGGGCGTGTCAGCTGCTACGGTTATTCGTCCAGTAAGGTAGTGCATGTTTTTTCTTGGGAGATTTACCCCTTCCCCTTCTGGAAGGCGAGACCTGCCGCCAACCTACACGTCGGCTTGCGGGGTTTTCCCCCAACCAGGTATCTCCCACCATCTCTTCAACCGGAACAAGCTCTAAGCTCTCGACTGTTCCCCCGGCATCAGAGAAAGTGCAGTTCGTGTAAGAATGAGATACGGAAGAGGAAGGAAAGATCGCGCGCTGTCCGTGTGTGAGGTGGCCCGTTTGTCAGTGAACTGCTCCGGCGTTCGCCTCGCGTCGATCGGAGAAACCACGCAAAACTACCGATCAGCGCGAATCGAATCGTGCTCCAGAGAATTGGCCCTCCTCGCTCTGCAGCTAGCGTCGGCGCCGTGTCCGAAGTCGTACCCGTCGGAGTCGTCGCCCTCGCCGGCGCCGCCGCCGCCGCCGCCGCCGCGCAGGCCGCTGCTCTTCATGCGGCGGTGGCGCTTCTTGACGTTGGGCGTGTCGGCCTTGGCGTCGAGCGCGCAGCCGTTGAGCGCCGCCAGCGCCGTGCTGGCCAGCGCCGCCGCGTCCTCCGCGCCGCCCGCGCCGCCCGGCTCGCGCAGCAGCTCGAACGCCGTCAGCAGCACCTTGTCCGCCGCGCGCCGCTGCTCCTTGCTCTGGAAGCCTGCAACGCCCAGCACTCGCCTCAACCACAAGCACAAGCAGCAGCAGCAACGAACGATAAAAGCGAAGATTAAACAAACAAATAAAGCCATTAAATAAACAATCGATTTAAGAAATAAATAGTAATTCAATAAACAATTAATTCATGACTAATAATATTTAAATAAACATTTAATTAATGAAATTAATAGTATTTAAATAAACAATTAATTAATGAAATAAATAATGATGCAATGATTCTTGACACTTTGGAATTATATGTCGAGTGGTTCTTGAGTTTAGATCAATGGAAGAAAACAAACACATTACATTGCCGACGTTTTGGCCATTTATTCGGCCTTAGACAGGGCTAAAAAATAGATAAAATTTTATGCAGGAGTATGTACGGTGACGATTTACATTCATAGACAAAAAAATTGGAGGCATTATAATTCTACAGGTAACATTCATAGATAAACAAATGTTTATCTATGAATATAAATGGTCACCGTACACACTCCTGTATAACATTATTTTTGAGCTCTGACTGATTTGATGACGGCCGAATAAATGGCAATATTACGTGTCGGTTTTCTTAATTGATCTTAACTCCAGAACCACTCAATATATAAATATTTTGCCTGACTTCTAACGCTACTTCTGAAAAATCTCTGTTTTTTCCTTCTGATTTTTAGAGAGGAATGAAATTCTCCGATTTTTCCGTTTTTCTATACTTTTTAAAAGTGTCCACTGTATACAAAAATAATGAATTCTTCCAAAAAGAAAACGGTAGATTTCAGCTGAGTTTTACTTTACACCACTGTATTTCTCTACTACGTAAGAGCATGGGTTCAAAGCGAACATCGATCAGCCTCGGAAGGTCGGGTAATGCGTTTGATATTGATTTCTGGAAGGCAAATTGCATGAATAAGAGACTCGTAGGTGCTTGTCATTTCGGGACGCTCCCTCATAATGACCCCCAAACCTGCGCCTAGATCGATCGCCAAAGAATATAGTCACAAAGGACTCGAGAAATCGAAATCGAATGCGAGGAAGCCATTAATGTTAAAATGGTAACAAAGCGAAGTAAATATCAAAATCAGAAATCGAAGAAATACTTGTATAAACCGGATTTGACCCTGTTTGTCAATTTAATACATGTGTTTTACATTGCAGCTATTTAATTTCTCCACTCAAAAATTATTTTGAGTTGAGAGTCTCCGCGCGAAGAAAAATCATCCCGCAGCTGAATGTACATAAATGGGAAACGTTCCAGTAATTGAATATTTCGAGCTATCACGCCACGCTTGAGCTGATTGTGTTGAAATAACATTAAGATTCATTTTGACTTCAGATGGCAATTTGTACTAACAGCATATCTCACACCAAACGTTCCATGGCTTGTAAACAGGGAAAAGAAGCTGTGGAACCCCCGTAGTGTGTTTCAAATGAAACTCCTAACGCTGTTACTAATGTACAATAATAAAAGAAAACAAAACGTATTGTAGCAAAAAGAACGGGGATTATTACAATAAACTGTTTTTTTTCGACTGCATTTTTGCAACAGTGACATGACTCATGAGAAATTTGTGGCTGTTCCTGAGCCTTCCGTCGTAAATGCACTATTATTGCTATATTTTGTGGAAGTCTTACAATGTTTTTTTTACGATGCAGGTACAGTTCCTGTAAAACCATGCTAATAATTTCGTTTGAAACCCCCTCTTCCGCTTTGGCGCCACTTCCACTATCGCAACCCTTACGACACCTTCCCTCAGAGGAACGTTTCATTTCACCCTGCAAAGTAGGTAGCGTTTTCTTTATGTGCTTAAAAAAATTAAGTAAAAAATAAGGTATTTGTTTGACAAATTAAACATTTAGTCGTTGTTTGGTATTATCAATATAATCAAATGTTACAAACCGTGAGAACGTTCATTTTCCATCAACCGCCTCTTCCCCTAGTTTGATTCAGAGACTCCATCCCTCTAAAAGCTAACCCTTAAGCGTAGGGGTGATAATCGATAATTGATGCTCGCGGTTACTCTTCCCGGAAGTAAACATCGGGGTGGGCACCCGGGCTTATCTCATCCCCACCCCCCTTCGGAGGCACGGTGCCCCCTTGAGGCGGAAGGCCGGCCCCGCCGAAGAGAGCCGACCCGCTCGAGGGCCGCCACTTACTTGAGATGGTGAGGCTGCCGAGCCCGTCGGCGAGCCCGTTGCCCCCGGGCTGCGAGGCGGGCACGGCTTTGGAGCCGCGCGGCCGCTGCCCGGGCACCTTCACCGTCACGTACTGCAGCGGGATCTCCTTGCCGTGCACGTCGTCCATGTAGTCGTGCAGGCTGGGGTGGTAGGTGAGGCGGCCGTCGTCGCACAGCGTCACATACTTCTTCTTCCACTCCTTGTTGAGCGCCTTGCTGCTGCGCTTGTAGAGGTAGCCCTGCTTGAGCGGGATGGCGCGCCCGCTGCCCAGCTCGCAGCCGCCGTTGCGCAGCTTGTCGTCCCCTTTCTTGGACGGCGTGAAGAGGTTGGAGCGCCGCCGGCTTTTCCTAGGGCGAGACAGCGGCGCGTGAGGCGGCGCCTTGCGGTACGGGGGGCTGGACGGCACGAGGAACTGACGCGACGGCGTCCTCGCGCCTCGCGAGGGCCGGGGGTAGCGCGCTCGCCGGTCCAGGCAGTCGAGGAACAGCATCCCGGCCGATCGGAAGACTACGCTCGCTACGTTTCTTGGCTGGCGGAAGGGAATGCTACGATCTTGCTGCGATTGAACAATATCACTTGTTCAGGCAATCGAGGGAGATTATTCCAACGGATCGAAGGAAAGAACATTCGCTTTTTCTTGGCTGCCCAAAGAGAAGAAAGAATACTAATACTACTGCTTGTTTTACTGCGAATTGAAATAGTATGACCTGTCTAAGCAATCGTGGAAGATCATTCCGACTGATCGGATGAGAAATTTGGCCGCGTTTCTCGACTGCCGAAGAGGAAGAAGCGAAATTAATCTTACGGCGAAGCGGAATAATGCGACTTGTAATTTAAAGCTTTTAAGAAAATATGTAACCAAACATATAGTTCAGTTGAACGCCGCATCTGTTATAACACGAAGGACGACTTTTTCTGGAGAGTCATCAAGACAACATTGCGTCGCAGTTCGTTTCCAAGAAACTGCCTTGATTTTTTCGCCTGTTCGACAGCGCCGAGGTAACCGCGACTGCTTTCGCAAGCAGCGGAGGGAAATTGTCGCCATCGAATGGAATTTTTTGTAAAATGAAGAAAGTTAGAAAGAAATCTTAGGACATCCTACACCAGGAAATGAAAAACTTTTGTATAATTTTGTGCATAACGGGTGCTATGGAAACGCGTGAGTGTTCGAGGATGTGAAAATACTTCAAAGGCAAAATGACTTGTTTTAAGTAAAAAGAGCGTACATTGTTAAAAGTACGCTTTGTGTGTTGGAATTATAAACACGCGTGTAGAAAATCATACGTTGTAATATTACAAAAAGAGGACATAAAATTATGCCTTATGAAAAGCGGTATACCGCAGATGTTTCAACCTAAGTCATTTTAATTTAGTCATAACTCAGCGTTTCCGATGATTTTATTCGTGAAGACATGGTAAAGTGTCACTATAGAGAGTTATCGTAATGAGTATCGACATGATTATGTCATTATACATATAGACACAATATTTGCATTTGTGTTAACTTTTTATGTCTCCTGGAATGTTTACGCGACCCTCATTTGCACGAATGTCGATAAATAAGTCAGTCTGGACTTTTATCTTTCCCTTGGGGTTCGGTTCAGTGGTCATTATTATTTTTGAATCAATGACCATCTAATTGTGGCCTTTTATGTTTGTCTAGTGATTCGGTAAGCAAATGCTCTGATAGCTTATTATTTGCCTCTGATCAGGAATGTACATTTTACTCCCTATGCCAATGCCCCATGCAGTTTGCACACTTTAATGAGATCCGACTATAAAGAACTCGATATGTAGAACTTGCAGGGGAAAAGAAAGCATCGACTTTCGCATATAGGACGTAACCAATTCGAGTTGAATCCCAAGAGGATATAGAAAGACATAGCTTCAAGAACAATGGATAAATTAATAAATTAAAATTATAAAATATTTCAAAATAACCAGGTTTGAGATATCAACTTGCACGTAGATACGGAAGGGGTTCGAAAAACATTCGAGATATCACGGAATTTGAGTAATTGAATACCTTGAAGGAACGTGGTTCGAGGTGCTCAACTACACGTGCATAAGGAAGTCAAATGATTTCGAAGAACATTCAATGTAAACTCGAATTGGTTACGTCCTATATGCTAAAGTCGATGCTTTCTTTTCCCCTGCAAGTTCCAGATATCGATCTGTGTAGTCGGATCTCATTAAATTGTGCAAACTGCATGTGGTTCGATGTATTAAAGAATTCGAAATTGGAATCCGAGTTATTGAATATCTCGAAGGACCCATGTTTGATGTGTCAAAATGCACGTGTATAAATAACAAAGGAGAAGCAGTCGGAAGAGATGATTGATTACTAGTGATTCCGAGAGCGTCAACGGCGAAGGTCGTTAGTCCCGCAAGTGTAATGCAAGTTCTTGCTCGGAGAGGTGGCGGTTATCTTCCCCCGCTAGATGACGAGACCCGGTGCCTACGTACCATCGGCTAGCGGGATTTTCCCCAACCAGGTATCTCCTCCCCAGCCGAGACAAACCTGTCTTCCGGTATGTGGATAGTGTAGTGCACGTACGCGTGTGTGTAAGGGGTGAGGATAGGACAAGGAATGTGAAGGAAAGATTGCGCGCGTTCCGTGGCCCGTTTGTAGGGCACTGCTCCGGCATTCGCCTGGTCGGACAAACCACGGAAAACTACCGAACAGAGCAGCCGACCGCTAGAATTCTCTTCCAGACAGTAACAAAACTCGTCGTAGCTAACAAGATAGTGTTAAAAATCCTGCCAGTCAGCGGCACAGCAGTGAGCTCAGTGGATGCCCTGAGCCACCCCTCCCGGCGGTTGTCCGAGCAGTCGCCGCGGGGTGGAGGTAGGGCTGCGCGCGCTCACCTGGAGGTGGTGGGCGTGGAGCTGGGCGTGGGCAGGTCCTTGCCGTCCTTGGCCCCGCCCGGCGGCGGCGGCGGCTGCAGTGACGAGGGCGGCGCGACGGCCGGGGGCGGCGGCGGGGGCGGCAGGTTGTCGAAGCCCTGCGGGGGCGGCGGCGGCCCCACGCCGCCGAACTTGTCTCGCGCCGCCGGCCCGTTGTTGTTGTCGGCGACGAGCGCCGCCTCGCACGCGGCCGCGGCCGCCGCCGCCACCTGCTGCTGCTGCGAGGGCGTGAGCGGGGGCGGCACCGGCTGCGCGCGCGGCCCATCGCGGAGCAGCCCCGGCGGTGGCGCGCCGGCCAGCGCCAGCGACGGCCGGCCCCCCGCGACGCCCACGGCGTCCTGCGCACACACAAACACACGCATTAGGGATGCGACGTCGATCACTAGGACATCTCGGTGGATAAGGTGATAGCTTACTGGCTTCTGATCCCCCGGTGCGTGGGTTCGATCCCGGCCGAGGTGCACGGATTATCGAAAAGCGGAAAATCCACACTTGTGGCATGTAAAAAAACCCTAGGGGTATTCCTGTCAAAATTAAATGCCGCTCTAACAAGAGCTCACTTTCCCCCAGACAGTTTGGATGTAGTAACTGAGTCCTACATCTGCTGTGAGTAAAATTCCAGGGGGACTGCCTTCGAGGCGCGCCTGCTTCAGACTCGTGACGGAGGGAGGCTTCTAAAGAAACCGGGATCGAAAACTCAGGGAAGACAACGGGAAACCACCCTGAGTATTTATCCCAAGAAAACCCGCAATGGGTCACCTAAATTCCCTATATGTAATATAGCACCAAAGAAGAAGATCGACAACTAAACATCCCTGTTTAGGAATATCCATGTTCAAATATTTAAAAAAAATCAATTGTCCATCGATTGATTTATTGACGTTTCCGGACGCGTCAAATGATTAGGTTGTCAGTTCCGTAAATGTTGTGCATGTTTTATCGCGGGAGTATGCGGTTATCTTCTCCCTCTGACTGGCGAGAAGCGGCGCCGACCTACGCCGGCCTGCGGGGATTTCCTCAACCAGGTATCTCCCACTAGCAGGGCACCACCCCAGCCTGAATATGCTCTGAGTACCCCTGACTAGCTTGTGTGGTAGTGTAGTGCATGTAAGTGAGGGGTAAGGATAGGACAAGAAATGGGAAGGAAGGATCGCGCACGTCCTGTTTGTTAGGATACTGCTCCGGCATTCGCCTGGCATTGATCAGAGAAATCACGGAAAACTACCGATCGGAGCAACCGGCTTCTAGTATTCTCCTCCAGACAGTAGTGAATTCGACCTAGCTGACAAGCTAGCCATCGTCGGAACTAGATCCTTAGGACCTCCCGGCCAGAGGCACTGCAGGGACATCAATTGACGCCCTGAGACACCTTTGCCGGTATCAAAAGTCGATGATCATAATATATCAACTCAGAACCATCGATGTTTTTGAACACGTTTATTATTTTATATTTGAGATGTAGTTCACAAAACGAAGAACAAAGTAAGAAAAATTACAGAGCAATTAACAAAATGTTTATTTATTAATTTACAACGGTGGCATGCATTTTAATAAAATATTTAATAGTTTTACACCTCTGTTGACTGTCATATTGGCAAAAAAGTCTTACAAAAATGCTATTTTTTAGCGCATCTGATTATACTAATTTAATGCTCTTTATATGGAATAATTGAAATACTACTCTTATTTTTATACAAATCATCAAAGTAATAGTCTAACATCAATAGTAATATTGTTTTTAAAATATGAGTGACCACTCTCCAATAAAAGTTACAGGACTGTCTGCGTCCTATTTTATTATCTCCATGTTTATATTTTGTGATTTTCATACTCATCGAGAAGAAATATCACAAGCAAATAAAAGCAAGTGCAAAAAGAAAAAAAAGTACTTGCATTGATTTTGTAGCAAGAATTCTATCACTGACGTAACTTTCTAGGAAATAATTTTTGATGGACACAATTCACAATAATTGATTGCATACAAACTGATTGAATAACTGATTTGCAAACAAAAAACATGGTCAGAATGAGTCACGATATCAGGACAGAATGAGTTGCTACGGTGATAAAAGATAGCAAAGTACATCAAACCGTCTCCGTACATCAAACCGTTGCACTGCAATAGAAAACATGTTATATACAACAGTATTGAACCCGGCAATGCTTCGCTAATGCAATGTATTTTGTATGCTGTTTACTTCACATGCTACTGGTCACGTGGTTGTTAATCTCGTTTCACGCTAGGCTCTGCAAACATAGATGAAATACTTTCTCGCGAGTGTGGGTCCGTCTCTCTCCCCATCTCTCTCTGTCTCTCTCTTTCTCCGAGTCTACGTTTCTGTTTGTTTCTCTCTCTGCGTCTCCGTCTTCCTCTATCTCTGTATCTGTCTCTCCCGGGAGAAATTTCAGAAATGCAGGGACAGAATACGCAATGAAGACGTCTTAATAATGGAACTTCAGTGTGGGCGGTCGGCATAGAGAGGGCCGGGGCATCAGGAACCGCGACATCAGCTAGAACGATTGGGGAATATGAATTTCGGAGATAATAGGCTGAATGCATTATGAGCTAGCGTTGTGTACAGACGGATGAACAGATATGTTTTGCCGTCAAACGATTTTTCGGTATGAAGGACGCACAAAATATGGATTCTGGCTACAACACGTGTTAGAGGATTTTTTTTCTTCTAAATTTAGAAACTGGATTTATCCACTTACTCCTTTCCAGGTGCTTAAAATCCCTAGGAAAAAATAGAGAAGTTATTGTTAAGGCAACGTCCCTATTTTTTCCTAGAGCTTTTATCCAGCCGACAGCCGGTTACCCTTCACGTCTCGATGGGACGCGCAATCGACCATACACTAGTCACCACCACACCTGCGGGCTACTCTGATCTGGGTCAGGAGAACGCGAAACCTCCGCAACAACACATACATGAGAGACAAGGGACAAACAATCATGCCCAATCCGGAACTCGAACCCGTGATCCTTTGGACCGAAGTACTGAGTCGGTGACGCACAGGTCGGCAGTAACGCCTCTTTATCAACTAAAAAAATCTGTTTTATTTGACCACCTGCGAGTGGCAATGTCATAAAAAATCGTGATAATTAAACATCCAAATATTTGCTCACGGTCCCCCACCATGGAAGGAAGTAAGGTGCCAACACGCCCGTGGAGGCGCCCTCTGCCGTTTGTTCGTCTTCCGGTGTGGCGTGACAGGTGCTTCGCGGCGCCGGCCGCCTCAGCGCTTCCTCGCTGTGCTTTAACAGGTGCGCCCCGGCACACGGAGCAGAACAGAGGGCCCGCTTCCTGCTGTAAACGTCGGACATCCTGCGGGGCGTGTCGGGGGCCTTCTGGCAGGCGCCGGCGCTCGCTACGCCCCCGCCCGCGTTTGTTGCGAGTACGCGCCCTTCAGCGCTTGTCCAAATTAGAGGAAATATGTTTAGGAGATTCAAGTTAATTCTCGATTGATTGATTAGTGATTCTTGGCGAGTTAGCAGCTAAGACATTAGTATCGTAAGTCTGTTTTTTATATCGGGAGGGGGCGGTGATCTTCTCCCGCTGGATGGCGAGATCCGGCGCTCACCTACCCATCGGTGTGGGTTTTCTCCCAATCAGGTCCTCCAGCGAGCTACCGCTCCAGCCGGGACAAGCTTTAAGCTCCCGACAGGTCGCACGGTATGGCGGTAGTGTAGTGTCATGTGAGTGTGTGGCCCGTTTGTAAGAGTACTACTCCACCAGTCGCCTGGTGTTGATCGGGGAAAACACGGTAAACCACCGATCAGAGTAGCCGGCCGCTAGGATTCTACCCCCACTCAGCGGCCGAATTCGACCTAGCTACTGTCGAAAATCCTGCCACCGTGAGGAATCGAACCCTAGGACTTCCCGGTCAAAGTCACAGAATCGATTGATGCTACGAGCCACCTAAGTCGGTTACACGCACAGTATTGCGACTACGTGGGAGTGTTGCAGTACTGCAAGTATGCACCCTTCAGTGGTTGGCCAAATTAGAGGCAATAAATTTAGGCGGCTGAAGTTCATTTTCGAGTTCTTCCCGGTAGACACTTGCGTCGCCCGTGCTCTCCTCTTGTAACTTTCGCATCGACGTATTGGGAGCGTAATACGCGGGCGCGGCCCCGGAAGACGGGCTCAAGTGGGGAAGGGGGAGAGGAGCCTAAATAAATTGCCTCCTGTACAAGGAAACATGCGAGTGGATGGACTCCTGATGAGAACGCGGGGAAAGAACTCTCATGGGAGTTTTTGTGCATCGCTGTTGATTGACTCTGTGAAGCTCGAATCAAGATCTGTTGAATGTAAACGAACCTCTTGTGTGTACGCATACACTTGTTCAATATTCATATGATCTCATGTGATCCATTTAACTCTTTCTTTGGATTCGACACGATTCTTTATCAATATATTGCTAAAACTTGCAAAACAAATGGTTTAAAAGTATATATTTCTAGCACTTATACCGTGGTGTAAAGTAGATGCTGATCAATTTTTGACGTGCAGCGCAAAACGAGTGTTAATATAGTAGTTTTCAAAACTTCTCGAACTCATTAAGACTAATATCTTTCGCTAGTGTTTTCTTTACGATATGACGTACACGTATGCGATTACAGAACTACGTGCAGTATCAAGTGAAGCTGAGTTGGACGACTCACAACAAAGGTCTTATTGTATGCATGCCGCCTAGCTTGCACGACTTTGGGATAGTTACTCTCCTTCACAGCAATAAGGCCGAAAATATGCTTGAATCAGATCGATGCGTATTTGCCACGGTCGGGCATCGTGTGAAACATCGCAGGTGCCAGCGAACCCTCATTAACTGTCTCCATGCTGGGGGGGGGGCTGTCTCATTAGTCAACGTTTCGATCGCAACGCAGCGTCACACATTCTAGAGGAGGGGTGTCCAACTTCCGAGGGCTCAAGGGCCAAAACTATAATCTTTACTATATTTGCGGGCCATAATTTCATTATTAGGGCGGTCCACACGTGACCCCGTATTGTTAATCTCAGCAGTTTGCTCGGATGATCTGAAAAGGGGGGGAGACTTTTGCGTTTGAATATTAGCACTTCAAGGACCGCAATAAATGGCACTGCGGGCCGCATGCAGCCCGCGGGCTGTCAGTTGGACAACCCTGTCTAGAGCGACCTCTCAAGAAATGTGGCAAAAGAGAATGTAATTTCCGAAGTCTTCGTAAGAGTTATTTACGAAATAAGTATCGTAAGACATCGTATTGCAGTACGAGACAGAATAATTATCAAACGAGACTCTTAGATTGAGTATAGTAATACGGTGTTCCTATACAAATATTGTTCAACATTTTATTAACGTTGTAAATATTCCAATGAACCATAAATTTCGTTTAAATTTGACTATTCGTCCTGCGAAAGGAGACACCCTGATGTTGATGGTCACGCAGAACACAGAGGTTATGTATTAGTTCTAATCTTAGACCTACTTACATTAAGAAACTGCTTATTGATGTTAATAGAGAGCCATCGACTATTATAACACTTGTTTTGTTATATCTCTTATTACGACACGGCTCTCGATTACGTAAAATTTGACGTTAGATAACCGAAGCGGATAAAATATTGCTTTACGGGTGACGCCCGGGAGTCGTAGAAGCACGCAGGCCGCAGGTTGAGCACAGCTGAACTGTAACATCCTGTGAGATAAGATTGATTTTGGCGGAACAAACTAACGCAGACGGACCGCCATGAGGACGGGATTAGTAATGCGGCTTGAGTCGTAGCCCCACATTTAGAAGTGCTGGTGAGGAATTTAAATATCCCGCCCGGTGCTCAGATGTCCGGTGATGTCTCCGTCGTCAGTGCTAAGGTGAGGATGCGGGTTGGGGAGTCGGTGCCGCTTAGTCCTCGCAGTGGGTGAGCTGTGGATCCGTCGTGTCAGTGCCGGGAACTCACGGTTAATTGTGAGTAGAGATTTGTCCCGGCACATTCGTGGTGGCTCCAGCAGTTTGTATCTCCGAGCTGGCAAGACGGCCTCATCCCCACCCAGGCGGACGAGCGTTGCTTTGTGATGCATCCAGATATTCCGTACATTGGGAATCGTTCGACTTCATCCCGCCGTCAGTATTCCCTCTGCCTCCCTCCACAGCGCATCCCCTTTCAACTTTCGTTACTTGAGAAGGCGTAGCCCGACGCGTTTCGCCCGTTCATCTGGTGTTTCGGAAGGAGTAAACATTTTAAATAAGTTTGCATTCATAAGTAGAGCATATAGATGTTCTCAGATCAGGCCAAAGAAAATCTCGAACACAGATGAATATGGCAGAATCAGTGGCGTAATGGTCGGGCCCGCAATACGAGCAGGCCCAGATAAGAGAGGGCCTGCTATAATCTGTTAGAAACGTTGATTTCTTTTGTGTTAGTCAGGAACTGATAAATGTGAATTTGTTAAAGAATATTTATATAAATAAGGCACTAAAACTTCTTGTGTTTGCTATATACTTTTATAAAAATTTGTTAAAGGTTTTGCGGGCGGGCCCGCACTCATTTCGTTACTCTACGAGGCTGCTACGTACTACGTACTGGGCAGAATCTTCGGAATTGTTAGGTAAGAAGATGCTCGTAGATACGTGATATCGTGTTTTGTTTATATAAACTTTAAAAGAACGTGCAAATGTTTCTTGAAAACTAGTGAATCAGTTACAATCTATGATGCAGAAATATTAAGCAAACCACGGTTAATGTAGAAATCAATTCTTACACTAAGGAGGAAAATGGATCGGGCTGGAGTCGGACTAAGCCTTAGAGGAAGGAAGCTTTGGAAATAAAATAACCGCGAGATGTCAGTATACGCCCGGTGCCTTAGTTCAACCCGAAAGACTTGAGGTTAGGCCTATACGATAGGAGCTCCCATTGGGGCGATAAAAATCCCCTGTATCGTGCGCGCAGGAGCGTCCAGATAGGGGGGCAACTTGATACAAGCCCGCACTTAAGTGGGGCCCCGAAAATGTATATAAAATGTTTCAATACATTTTTTTGAAAGGAATTTAACTGTAGTGGAAATATGATTCACCGTAAAATATATTAATAATTAATTACAGTAATAAATTCGGGGAATTTTTGTTGGAAATAAGGGGCCCCTGTGTATCTACTGCCCCAGGTCCCATGTTTTCTCTGTGCGCCCCAGCGTGCGGGAGATTTCCCCATCCAAGTATCTCCTCCCAGCGGGTCATGCGTAGCGCATTCAAGTGCAGGTGTGAGTGGCGTGAAGAGGCGCACTCACCTTGTGCGCGAGGGCGAGCAGCTGGGCGTGGCTGGGCGAGGCGGCGCTGAGGCCCGCGCCGGCGGGCGACCCGGCCGAGGAGCTGGTGCCCCCGCCCCCGCCGCCGCCGCCCAGGAAGCCGTTGCTGGTGGGCGACGCGTGCAGCAGCCGCCCCGCGCCGCCCGCACCCGCGCCCGCCGCGCCGCCGAAGTGGCTGTTGGGCGTGGACGGACGCGAGTTGGTGGGCGTCAGACACGACGCCGACGACGACAGGCGCTGCTGCACGATCTTCTGGCACGCTGCAACACACAGGCGCTCGCTTTACAATGCGCTAAGACACAGTGCAGTTTATAGTACGTCAAGGAACATTTCGGACAAGGAAGAGGAAGGAAAGATCGCATGCGGTCTCTAGCGCGTTTGCTAATCCACAGTACTGTTCATAATACGCTAAGGAACATTTAGGACAAGGAAGAGGAAGGAAACATCGCGTGCGGTCCTTGACTTCTTTGTTAAGGCACAGTACTGTTTACAATAAGATAAGGAACATTTATGACAAGGAAGAGGAAGGAAAGATTTCGCACGGGCCCTGGCTCGTTTTTTAGTGTACTGCTCTGAAATTCGCGCGTTAATCAGAGCAGCAGACCGCTAGAATTCTACCCTGTCACTCGATCTAGCTAATCTGAAGTCAGGTTTACGTGGCGTGGTCATTAGGAGCAAAAAATGTTTAACCGATGGTTGTTTGCCAACGTTTCGGAAAATATATTTACATCATCAGAGCTTGCAACCACCAGCAGAGTACAAACACACAAACAAATGAAACATACGTGAACATTCACCACAACATACACCATGACTAATAATGTGGTCACTGATAGTGTAGGAAATGCGCACGTATGTTTCCTACATCCCATGAGGTGTCCTATCGTAAAGAATATGTAGCGGTTTATTTGATTGTGTGTGTACTCTGCCGGTGGTGGCAAGCCCTGATGATGTTAATAGATTTCCCAAAATGTTGGCAAAAAACCATGTCGCGTCAAGCTGACTTCAGTATAATAATTATGGTTGTTAAGGTTTCTCCAAATCTAGTCAGTGTTGAAAATCCTGCCATCGGGTTGGGACTCGAACCGTCGGCCCTCCCGGTGAGAAACACTGCAGTGACATCATCTAAGCCACCAAAGCCGGTATGTTTTTCTTGTAAAAAAGATGCAAAGGCTCTCAGCATTTGCTTAATGGTAAAAGAGAAACTGAACGAAAAAAAAAAACGATTGACATGGAGAAGGGGTCATTGAGCCAGAATCCGATTGCAATAGTTGATAATGACAAATTCAACTTTTTAGAGTTTAGCTAATAAAAATTCACTAATACATTTGTTTGTTTCGCTTTTGATACTTTGTGGAGTCTCCAATCATACGGAAACGGTAATACAGCAAAAAATTTAGAATTCGGTATTTCATTTTTTGTTTCGATTAGAATTGTTTAATGGCTGAAATTTGACTACCGATTCTGCGTTCGGTACGTATACTGTATTTGACTGTTACGGCGTTCGTAGAATGTATTTCACGATATTGGCTCACATTCGAATGCTCCAATGGGCAAGGTCATTCTTAGACATTCTAAAAGGTCACATTTATTTTTTACTCGTGTTGAATCAAACTCCAAGTTCTATTTAAAAACTCTTTCTTATACATCCTTGTAAAATGCACTGAAGTTTGGATAATAAGTGTGGGAGAAAAAACAGTAGCCATATCTCCTTAAAAGGTTAAGAGCAATAAAAAATCAAAGCCGAATCATTGACTGCTGGTAAACGAAAATTTGCAATGTCCAAAAATTCAATCTAAATGTTCTTCTCTTGAAGTTCACCCTAGAAGGAAAATCCCCCCTCTACGCAGAGCGACACTCTGGTCACTGAGGGTAATTAAGCTTGTCCCTAGCGTGTGTTTTGCATCTGATGAGAGTTATTAATATACGATCTTGCGTGACAGGCTAGGGATTATTAGGGTGAGAGTGAACTATCGCAGTATCCAGATGCAGATGGTTACATGGCTAAACGATCACTAAAGGTGAATAATGATGGAAATACACAGGATAAATTGGATGGCCTTATTGACATTATCGCAATGACCACTTTGAGATAACTCGCATAGAAACTGAGGAGTCTGAACCCTTTAATTCTACGTTTGTGACAGTTGTGATAGCAGGGTACATATATCGACAATGACTGGGTATTGAGTGCATTGTGCAAACAATTGTTTTCTCATTTATCAAGTTAACTGGTCGGTTCATGATTAAATTCTCGATTGCCGATTTCACCAACATTGTTTTCCATTTTGGAAACAAATAAAATAGTTTGCTAGCTGTTGGAGAGAAAATAAAAGTGGACCTAATCACTACCACAGACAGTTATTGCTTACGTATATACTAAGTACAGTGTAGAGCTAATGTTTACGACTGGATACAAAAATTCTAAACTGCTATGAAAAGTCATACTTGCGATAAATTTTTCTAGTCTATGTTTTGCGATTATCCTTAATTTCTATGTTTCTGGTATATTTCCAGTGTTGTTGATCTAAATCTCAATACCATAAACGTATTGCGAAGATGATTGTGAAAGAAGACGACTATTTAGTAGGAAACATCTGAATCCAGATTGGTATCCAATGTAGTATTTCATTTTTGGACTAAATTTGTTTGACCCTTCTAAGGTACGTCGGATAACCCTAATTAGACAACTCAGAATGCGAGTCTACTAGAATTAAGAACTGCCTAAACAAATTTTCTTCTACTCACACAGTGAAGATGTATAATTTAAACATACGTATCTCTTAATTTAGTCTATTTCTAACCGCCTCAATAAACAATATTCCGAGTCATTTAACCGCAAAATACTAGCTTTGATTGTTATCATTCCCGTCAAAGAAATCATTCATCAACAATAAATGTGGAAAGGCTCAGGATACTGGTGTTTCTGACGCTTATGGTAAAGGAATACGGTGAAGCTATACAGGACGGATAAGTAGCATAAGTGGGGCGAATTGAAGATGTCTTTTTTCGGAACAATGTTCCGGAATTTCAGAACTAAACCATTTAACGTAATGTAGACAAGTGAAAACCTAGATTTCTGCTCTCGTAGTTACTAGGAGTTTAGCTCCTGACAGAGAGACAGTGACGTACGGATGGTGGTCGATATTGCGGTCAGCATACTGCATTCTCCCTCACGGTTAAAAGCCATTGGCTCGCCTGTATCGCAGCATCTACCAGACAGCCACAAAATGAAACATTAAAATGAAGACAAATGTTTGTCTTTATTATGAATACTGTTCCTAAAACTCACAGTACGAGTGTATTCATACGTAGTGATCGAAAGATGATTCGATGAACAAGTGATTATGATATAAATGATACGGAGCAATGCTGGAATTAGAGAAACCGTTTCGGAAGAACCCCGACGACACCTGCCGTGAAATCTCTTTTTCCCTACCATGGGTTGACCTGAATTTAAACACAATCCCAGAGGAGGAAGGCACGGGTTCACACCAACACATCATTGTAGACATATTCAGAGGATTGAAGGCAAGCAATGACACCAGCACTCCAAGGCAGACAACTGTTTAGGAGTCTTCCCTTCGCACCGGGCGCGCCATTCACTAGAGGATCACCGAATGCGCAATCCTTTGACCGCTTCGCACGCAGCCACTGGGTCAAAGGGGCGAGGGGCGTGTCTCGGGATGAAGGGGCGACGGCACAGCCAGACGGATAGGTGGCCCAAGTGGAGCGGCATTAAGGGCGAGAGGCCACGCTAATGCCCCGGGGCGGTGACAGGCAGGTGGGGCGCCGGGAAATTGATGGCCCACGCTGATGCAGTCCGCCCTGCTCTTGCGCGTGAATTTCATTACAGAGCGCCGATCAAGGCACGAAGAGGGCGATTGGCGTTTACGTCTCTTTCCGGAGGCGTGATTAATCTTTTTGGGCAACCCATTAAGCTTCGGGGCATCCATTTAGTACCGGAATTAGAATTCGTTTAGAAGGCAGGAAAGAATAGAAGGACTTCGGGAGATTGCTATTATATGAATTATTATTATTATTATTATTATTATTATTATTATTATTATTATTATTATTATCTTCTTCTCGGGGTTTTCTTACCTAGAAATTCAGGTTTGAGGGGCGTTTAGGCTTACCACAATCCTACTTTTACATATATAGAACCGTGCGAACAATCGGCAGGTTTCAAGATGACTGGCTTTTGAGCATTTGGAAAATTGAGTTAGGAGAAAGACTTAATTTTTCCAAATAATATTTTAGATGTTTGTTAACAAGACCAGTATCTGTTATTACAATTGGTATAACCCTAACAGATTCAAGTGTGTATGTTTCTTTGTATACTATTGGGAGGGGGATGTATTTGGAAATTGTTTCCGTTTCTACTTTATTGATGTTGCAGGGTGCAGTGTGTGTAACATCAATAATGAATGCTTTCTTTTCCTGTAGTTATGTGGTAGAATGTCTGGTTTATTTGCCGGAATCCTTTTATCAGTATGTATTGGAAGGTCATAATTTATTATTATTATTATTATTATTATTATTATTATTATTATTATATGGATCTTTTTTGGGAGGATCATCATTATGCTGAATCCATTTTTTATCCCCCAGGGTTGCTAGTCCCGTGGGGGAGGGGATGCAAGATGAAACGATGATCATCATCATAAATAGACGACACGCGTAAACACACCCATGTTCGGAGATCGCCACGGCACTACTGTCTCAGCAATCTTGGCCAATTATTATTTAAATAGTTAATAATAATAATAATTTATAATAATGTATTATTATTATAAGCAGCAGGTCTACTTTGGTTTAGACTGGCACGAGACAGGCGTATGAAGGCAGCTGGAACGGGATGTGTACAATATTTCTCATTAACTATATCGTACATAAAATTAGTCGTTTCCTTGTATTTAATTATACATGTTTATAGAACTATCTGCGAAGTTTTTTAATGGCTGTCTGTTATATCTATTGTAAACTGGTTCAAGTCAGAACTAGAAAAAACAATTTGATTTAAACCAGAGGGAAGCAACCAAGATTTTCATCCCGCGTGAAGCGGGAGGTCTTAGCTCTTAATGGGATCTACGTAACTACCTTAATATATAATAATAATAGTAATAATAATAATGATAATAATAATAATGATAATTATAGAAATGAGAATGATGAAGATGACAATGATTGTAATAATATTAATGATGATGATAATGATAATAGTAGTAATAACAATAACCACGCCATCTCGTTAGTATCGCTCCGAGTGGGTGCAGTGTGCTCACCGTCTTGGAAGACGCGCTCCACGTTGAGGCCGTAGGTGGCGCACGTCTCGTAGTAGGAGCAGCGCTTGAGGTCGGTGGCCAGCTTCCGCGCGCGCGCGTCGTCGATGACGCGCGGGTTGTTCTCGCTGATGGCGTCTGCAACACACAGCGCACGCACATTCACGCACAAGCCATGGCACCATACCCTTTTGCGCTACAACTAAAAAGTTTTCTTTTATGCAGTTGTAGTTCAGTAAATGTATCACATATGGGGCGTCCGGAAGTGGCGTCCGGAAGGAAGAGGGGGGCGGGAGTAGCTGGGACATCTGCCCTAGGCCCTGACTTAATTGAGGCCCACAATTTTTTTTTCATTCGAAAGAAATGAAAAATATATCTACTGCAAACAAATTGAACGCTATAAATTGTTCTTGATGGAGGGAGAAATGAAATCTGTTTATAAATTGGAAGAGAAGGGAACTTTTCGTTTTAAATAAGGGGCCCCCAAGGATCAACTGCCCGAGGTTCCTAGTTCTTTTCTGGGCGCCCTTGCATATTTGTGTCATTCACACTTACCCTCGTGATGCATAATAGCATCACAATTGTCATGCGTTGGTTGCACAATAGATAAAAGATAATGATACGCGCGTGTACTGCGGGCCAGGTGGTCTAACACGGCGTTGCTACACGGGAGACGGGAGGTTGAGGCATGGCCGATGACAAATCGTCAAAAAAGAAGGCAGGAGGTGAGTTGTGGAGATCGTAAATCTGAATTATGGTGGTCAACAAATCAGATCAGAAATGTCCCGCCGTTTCCTCTTCGGCCATGTCACGGACGAAAGCTGTTACGCAAATCTCGCCATAGATAGAATTACAGATAGGAAGCGAAATGCGGCATACCGATCGCAGGTTATATTGAATGGCAATTCAAATTGAAATTGGCAAAGCAGGCAGTACTTGTCGTGTAAGGCACAATTATGTTTTACTCATATGAAAAGAGTTTAATTTTTTTGGGCAATACGAGTACAACGGTTGAAGAGAGATTATTGACTTTTACAAAGCTCCATCTCCGTTTCTCAGATCTCAACTGAGGAACAAGATTCATCAGAAATATTAAATAATAAAGAAAACTTTCGATTTTGTTATTCTCTAAAAAGAATGACGAGAAACGTACAGTACGTATACAATTCTATAGAAACAAATTTTAAAATTAGCATTAGAACCTGAAATTACTGAGAGAAATAATACTTGTTCTTCTCGTATGTTCTTTCAGTTCAGAGATAGAATTCTTCTTCTAGCAGTGATCACCAAAAGGAGTCACTCCTACAGCGTCGGATAAGTGCTGTGTTAAATTATTTTAACGTTTCAGCTGTAAAGAGCGGCTTTTGTAAAGTAATGGCTTCTTTTGTGGAAGAGTGCTTTGAGAATGTGATAGTTGGTCGGAAAAGAGCTGTGATGAATAGAAGCGACCCATATGTTCCGAGACGATATAATATCGCGATCGTACTATTAAACGATACTCTGAAAATTTGTGATTAACTTACTTAAACATATAATAGAAACATATTGAAAACGTGGTGGACCCAGCATATACGGCTGTCTGAATCCTGGTTTGTAAGTATTGATAATTGATGTATGACGTGATTAGATAAATGCTGTGAACTACAGAATTTCGAAACTGTTGTTGTAATTGAACACTTCCACCATATAAAAAGTAATTTCTGGCAACCACTAAACCTCAATCAGTATCCCATTACCTGTCAAGTACTGAAATAAATATTGAATTCAGGGTTGATTTGCCTACAGGAATAAGCAATATAATTATCAGTTTGAATAAGAAATGGATTAGGCCTAAGGTCGTTCATTTTTTAACTTGAGAGCAGGATAACCCCTGGTGAGTTCTGAGATTTTGATTTCAACATGTCAGTCTGAGAATTTAGTGTTCTGGGAATATACTGCATATGAACTTCTTATCACTACAATATGCAAACATTTTGTAAACGCTAAAGAGAAACATGTGTGTAATTATTTCTAGTTTCTGCATATTTGGAACTACATCCAAATCTAGATTATCTATTCGTGAAATGTTGCTAGCGTATTGTGAAATGCCTCTAACATTATTTTGAATAGCAGTCAAGATGGCTGTAATGTGTACTTGTATGCTCAAGCTACTCTATGAAATTATTTCTATTAGATTTTCTTCAAATTATCCGGCCAAATAATTTAGATCGCGTCTGACTAGGCGTCGAATGACAACCTCGTTTTGAGATTCGTTAAAAAAATTGCCTTTACGAGTAGACAGCGGCTAATATTCGCTTTTCGCTGAATATCGAATAAATGTTCTCTGTATCGCTACTGGGGATGTGGAGTCATCCAATGAACAAGCACTTGTTTCAATGCTGGCTTTTTCCCATTTCCCATGAGTACGTATATCAAAGAAAACTTTCGCCATGCTTACTGCTGACGGTATACGGCAAAGTGCGTCTGTCTGTTGACAAGTAATCGTCGATCACCTCTTCAAGCTCGTCGGCTGCTTGTTTTTGCTGAATACCCCACGTCCGGCGACGGGTGAACAGGAAGCAATGAAGTTATAATGTAGCGAGTAGCGTGATATAAGATTCATAAAAACCGATAAAATAAATTTATTACATATCTGGTGTCCTGCAGAATTCCACCTCTACCAAAAATGACTAATTTTTAGAAGTTATAAAAAGAACATTTTATTTTCATTATCTTTCCTAACAGATATTTGCACACCACAACGGTCGCGAATTCGTGACATTTTGAACATTTTGACAGCAGCTAGATTGCGTTTTTCCGACACGTTTTGATTGCCTCAGTCTGACACGACTTATCTATTGGTTGTTCGAGAGGCTTTTTTCTGTCACGCTTTGAGCATTAACGTCGCATATGATAATGCAAAAGAAGTAATGGAACACTTGCATGGTATATAAATAGCGTCTTCCTAGAAAACGTCACACGACCCTTATCTCGAAAAGAGAAATAATAAAACAATGGCAGACATCTTAGTGCCAGCAATTGGAACCATTCTGACTCCATATAAACATAAGCTGATATGCTAACGAGGAAACGTGAGTTAGTGTAGACTCATCAAATATGAAGTTGAATATTGTTTTTCTCAACGAACAAGTTGCAATCGTTGAACATCAAGACCGGGTGTATGTTTTGACTGTCACTGGCCATAGCAAAGTTTTAAACAACCTACACAAATTTACAGCAAATCTGTTTAATAAAAATAATAGAACAATATACAATATTATTTATTATACATATTTTCACATTTTTGTTACTAAACAGTGTATGGTTGTAGTGTTGTTAACATTTTATTGAGGTACCTTCTTCGCCTTTTTAAACACTGGAGTGCCAAAAAATGCATCTACCAGAAGGTACATAAAGTAAAACTTGCTCAATGAGGAATCTCAGCGGACCAGAATCCCCCCCCCCCGTATTTTACAAGATTCCGCTTTATGCAATGTAATACTGTAGAATTTGTGATTGGAAGAACCGCGATTTACGTTCACATTAGACAGATTTCCGCATTGTACACGTCCAGCATTGAGCAAGTTTTACTCTAATATATTCTCCCCACTTTTAACAGCAAATATAAATTCTGGATTGTAGATTAATTTACTAATCTCGAATCTACACCGTTCAGTTCATCATAATAGACGCCATTACAATATATAACTCCGTTGCAATATACGAACTGCTAAAGAAATGTCCACCAAACCTCGTACCAACCATAAAGTGAAACGAAACCTTCTAAGAACTAAGTCACCCGAAAATCAATACCGTCCAGGCAAAGAGACTATTTTAATGACGCGATGACGTCAGGAACAACCGATATTCAAATGAAAACGTCACGGAATAGAAGCGCAGTCCAAATTGAATTATCGCTTAGCGTCTCGTGCGGACAAGTTCGTTTGAAATGGCAAACTACGTTCCTAATAGAACAGAGCACACTCGCTGGGCGTGACTCGGAAGGCGGACTGTAGCGTAGAGAAGGGGGCACCCGATGCTGCCACGTGGTTCACTTACAACGCCTTAACGCCTCTGGGCTTCCGTCAGCGGTGCAGGGTCGCGCCCGGCACGACAGGACGCCTGCTGTAGTGGACAGGGATATGTGAAAATACAACTTCGAGGCCGCGCTCTGTCAGGAAGACCCCTCTCTACATACCGCACGAGTTATTTCTAAGCCTCATTTCAAAAGGAGAATTTAGCGCCACTTGCTATTGCGTATGAACAAGGTCTGCGTATACCTTTGTTGTAAAGCTGGATATTTAAGTACTGGATAAATATAAGCACTGATTTGCAATATTATAGTACGTCAAATTGATACTGCTAAAGCAGTCGACGAGGACTCGCCTGTCATCGACATTACATTACTTGTAGAGAAGTTAATATATAACAGGCCTAGCTGTTGAGCTGATGTTGAAAAACCCCACCGTCGGGTCTCGAATCTTGGTCTTTCTGGCCTACCCCAGCGCCTCGCAAACACTTACGCTCTCTCTGGCGATGTGTCATTAATTCTTAGACATTTATTTTACGATCATTACAAATTAAATGATGTGTTCGAATGAACACACGAAGAACTTTATTCGCAATGGACTGAACAGTAATTATATCAACAGAGTCGAATTGTGCCAGAATCCGTTTGCACTTTACACCCTATCCCCAGAAATTTGGCATCGTGGTGCAAAGGCCTGCCAACAGACCACGCTCAAGGCATCGAAGATTAAAATTGAAAGAACCAGACGGGTGAAGTTTCTGTTGTAAAGAATTACAGGAAAGCATGTAAAATCGGGTGTTTCGAGTACAGTCTTTAACTGTAAAAGTTAACACAAATAATAATATTAATAAATATTAATAATAATAAGAGTACTTATTATTGATATTATTTCAAACCAATTTTGAGTTATATTAATAAATCTTTATTGTACGTAAATTACAGGGTTCTGCCACTAGATTTCAATAATCCTATTTACAGATGTAATATATATATATATATTTATGGCGAGGCTCATCCCAATAGACCGCTTTCTCCTGTAAACCGAGTGCTCTATTTTGCCGAGAATAAAAAAATGTCCACAATCTGACGTGAATCAATCCCCAAATTACACCACGTTCTTCTCTGAAATACATTGAACGCATTTCAATTAGGAACATACGGTGAAATTGTAAACATTGAATGTGCATTTAGTCTACCATAAAAATAATTATAATAGCTAATGAAGTTCTGCCCAAAGGAGGAAACTTGTGTGTACTAGCTTTTAAAATGAGGTCGCAAAGTATAGATGAGTAACGTGTTGATAAAACTAATAAGGTAGAGGCCACGATTTTAGCACTGGGCTTCTACGTCCTTGAGAAGCAGTCACCTTAGCGTCGTGTAGGTCGAAAAGAAATGCCATAAGATTATCTTATACGTATGTAAATGCTTTGAAATTGTACATGAGTGCCTTATATGTGTATTAAAATGAAATAAAAGTGACTTTATTAATGTGATGAGACTCCAGCAACCTAGCCAGCTCTTCCGTCTAGTCACGCCCAAACATGAATTAATTGCTCTCGTTGAGTTAAAACTGAAAAACATGAAACTAAATGCGTTTTCCATACAGGGCATTTATAATTCACTTTGAAAGGTCATATAATTCAAAATTAAAAACAAAGTGGCTATTACGTAGCCCTTGAATATGTGTATCATAAAACACAATCTGTGCGGAGGAAAATCGAGAGCGATGTACTAGGTCAAAAACTAATGCAAGAGCGACGGCAACAACAAATGATTTTCTGAGTAAAATGAAAATAGTGTGATAAATCCACGCCATAACTCTGCGTGTCATGATTACTGACTTAAACGTTAAACAACAAGAAAGTATTAATGTTTGAAGACTAGATTGAATATCATAAACTAGTAAGTTGAATCTCTGTACAGCAGTACAGTTAAATGTTATTGATTGATTGATAGATAGTGATTCTGGGCGCGTCAACTGCTAATGTCATTAGTCCGTAGGTGTAGTGCATGTGTTTTCCACGGAGGGGAGATCTTTACCCTCTGGATGGCGAGATTTGGTGTCGATGTCCCGTCGGCTAGCGGGGGTTTTCCACAACCAGGTATCCCCCACCAGCGGGACACCGGTCCAGCCGGGAAAAGCTCTCAGCTCCCGAACGGTCTCCCAGCATGTGTGGAAGTGTACTGCATATTGGTGTAAGTAAGGGGTGAGGCTATCGCAAGGGAGAGGATGGAAAGATCGCCCGACTTAGCTGACAAACTAGTGTCGACAATCCTGCCTCCGTCGGGTCTCGAACCTAGGACTTCCCAGTCATAGGCACTGCAGTGACATCAGTTGATGCCCTGAGCCACCTTCCGCGGTAGTTAAATATTAATAGACTATATTTTTCGTTCTCTTTGTAGAAGGTAGTCTCCTTGATTATGAAAAGAAGAAGACAAACGCAGGGCAGCTTCCCTGGGCGCAGCAGGCGTGCCGGAGACGCGGTCGCTCATTCCGCCGGCGGCTCAGCCCTGAACTCCTCTCTCGGTTACGCAGCGCTTCGCTCTAATCCACGCCCGTCACGCGCTTCCGCGAACAGCCGCCCGCACAGCTGGGCGGAGCGAGGGCGGCGGGGGCGGCGACGGCGCGGAGGACGATGGCAGCGGCAACGACCACGGTCATGAGGCAGATGACGGCGTCGGAAACAACGCTGACGGGGAAGATGACAAAGGCCAGCGGTGGAGAAGGCGACGGTGATAGAGACAATATTGACAGGAATGACGAGGGGGCGTGCGAGCGATGAGAATGTCGGAAAGTCAAGGAAATTCCGGGGAAAGGGAAGTATAGGGCGTTGGGGGCGGTGGAGATGTCGGGAGAAATAAGGGCGGTGAAGTTGACGGGGGCAGCAAAGGAAGCGACGGTCATGGCAGATGAATTAGGAGTCACGGAGATGGTAGAGGAATTGGGGGCGACGGGGTAAGTGGAGGAATTCCTAGCGACAGGGTTGGCAAAGGAATTGGGAGAGACAGGGATGGCCGAGGAAGTGAGAGACGGGGATAGCAGAGGAATTGGGAGCGACGGGAATGGCAGAGGAATTGCTAGGGACAGGGATGGCGGATGAATAGGGAGAAACGGGGATGGCAGATGAATTGGGAGCGTCGGGGATGACAGATGAAATGGGAGCGACGTGGATGGCAAGGGAATTAGGGACGACGGAGATGGCAGATAAATTGGGAGCGACAGGGATGTCAGGGGAATTGGGAGCAGCGGGGATGGCAGAGGAATTGGTTGCGACGGGGATGGCAGAGGAATTAGGAGCGACAGGAACGGAAGAGTTGTCGGGAGCTCTGGAGGTGGGATGTCACGGGTGACAGGATTGACGGAGATGGTAATTACGTGGGTGGCGGAAACGTCAAGCGGCGGAGGCGCCGGGGATAACAAAATGAAGGAGCCGGCAGGGAGACGTACGAGGGGAGGGTCGTCGACTACGGAGGTGACAAGGACAGCGGTGGAGGGACGAGAGAGGTATTGGTAACGACGACGGTGGCAAGGAATACGGAAGCGAAGGGATGTT